ATGAAACAATAAAAATAGTGTTAAATTTAATATGTCTTGTAAAGATAATATGAAACAATAAAAATAGTGTTAAATTTAATATTATTATGAATTACGACGTATAATTTATAACCAAGTGAATAAATAATTTTAATTTTATAAATGATACGTAAGTTCCCTCTTCAGTCACAAACATCATATTTTAAATTCCCATGAGTAAACGTTTTTAAAAAATGGGACCTGCCAATCTTTATCCGAAAATAAGGGGTACCTGGCAGCAATTTTTTGAGAAGAGGAGGAGGAGGAGGATAACGGAGAAGAAATGTTAACGGAGAGAATGACGGATTGTCACCCCGGAGTCAGTTTTCGAATATCTTAAGGTACCTCGGAGTATATTTTGAAAAACAATGAAACCTGCTAGTCTTTATCCCAAAATTAGGGGTACCCAGCAGCAATTTTTTGTTATACAAGCAAATACTCTGGACATCCCTACATCTTTTTTTTGGACAAAAATGGCTACTTCATTTTTTTTATAATTTAAGAAATGAAAATTTACATTTATATTTTATGAGTAGACTTTTTTTGTATTTATTTCATTTGTCATTCTACAAATAACAACCGTGCATGGTATATTTTATTTTACAGTTCTATAAAATAAGATAAAAATTCATATCATATGACTCATAACAGAATTTCAAATAAATGTAATGCAATACAAAACATAACATAACTTCAATTGAGACTCATTCTCGAGTTCTTGTACATAAATTTAATGTACTCAACCTGGCTAGTGTCATCGGGTAATGAAAAGAAAATTGTTCTTCGTTGTGGATCTTCAATCATGGAGCAAGCAAATAAAACTCAGGAGATGTGTGTGACAAATTGGGCAAACAACATAACTTTGCCATTGTTTCTCCGATATCAAACTTTGAAATGTGAGCATTTGAAGTTGTTTTTATCATATCCTTCATCAAAGTAGTGACTTCATTGAGTGATTCATTTCGCTTTGAAATTGCATCCATTATCCCACCAAACATTTCTTGCATGTTTTCATTTTTTCCCTTTTTCAGATTGCTTGTTCGGGCATTTTTATTAGGCTGTGAAGATTCACCCTCAAAAGTCCTTTTTCTTCGCTCATCTTGCCCAACGGGTGGATTATTGTGAGGTAGAGACTCACTCCATAACTCTTCCCATGAATCATTTGTAGCATTCACTCTACCATCATTAGTCTCATTCTCATAAAACGCATCACCATCATAAGTACCACGGGGTGGCATAGACATATAAATATCATCACCCTCACCACCAAGATTATTATGAACACCTGCACCAAGTCTAAATTCGGCATTTTCATCCTCTCGAAAGTCCATGAAGCCTCGAGATCGAGATCGATCGTCATTGCAGGAGGCTCCCTCTCCGCCGCCGCGCAAGACTGATGAGCACATGTGAGCTCCTCTGTGTTCGGATTTTCGGCATCCGCCTCGGGCAATTCGCCGGAAAACATGGCGGTGGTTCTATTTCGGCGGTCCCAGGAGGAGAGAAAACGGAAGATAATGATGACTACTCCGTAGAAGACTGGTGAACAGGAGAAGAGTTAAGGTGAGGCGTAGAGGCGTGAGAGATTCTTTGAGAATAGAAATCCGCCTCACACACCTCCACTAACTTGGCACTTTGTGAAGTTAATTATTGAGTAATATAATGTTCTTTCTTAAATACGGAGCAACATGGAAAAAAACTAAAATAGAAGTACAAAATTAAAAATATATTTACACTTACATTTACATTATCAATCATGATCATGTACATTACCAAAAAGTATAGTAAAATAAAAATATAGAACTCTTATTTTGATACTTTTTCTATATGATTCTTATAACATAATATTCATTCTAAAATCCTTTTTAATTACAAATCTGTCATGATGTACAATACATCCGGTTGTATCATATAATTTGCAGGTCTCACTCAACATTCCGGTGAGATTTTGCACTTTCGGCCTCTCTCCCCTACCGCGGAAAAGAAAAATATTTTGTTCCTTTCCCATTTCCCATCCTATGGAAAATCAATAAATCTTGGAATCCTTATATTTTTCAATGGATGTCCAAGTGAATTTTGAATTATTTTGTGCATCATTACATTGCCAAGATGACCCAAATGATCATGCCACAAAATGAATATTTTTTTATCATCCAATTTTTTATTAGAGACAACATTCACTTCAATAGGACTAATGTGAGATTAATATAGCCCCGAGGAATACGGTGACATCTTTTCACAAAGAATTTTATTGCCTGATTTAGTTATCGTTAGACACAAGTGGAATAGTTCAGGGGGATTCAGAGTGGTCACCCCACCTTGTGCTACCTAGTCAGAGCGGGATATTTCAGTGGATGAAGGGGAAGGACCTGGTGCAGAATTAGCTGGATCCTTGGATTGAGCATCGTCTAGAAGGATACGACCAGGGGAGCCCATCTCTTCCGACATGATCACCTAACCCCTCCCCTTAAAGGAGCGATCGTGAGAGGAGTATTCTAGGTCGTCATCCCGAACTGACGGAGTAACTGCTGGTGAAAAATGGGACCTCGGGGTAGACTCGATCATCTTTAGATCCCTTTGCCTTATTCTGCTGCAAGGGGATGGCAGGACCGAAGTGCTTGCGCTTCTGCGTAATACATCGGCAGTATGGTCAGGGCTCCGACAAAGGCTTGAGCTAGTTATGTGGGATCCAATTGGGTGCAACTGGATGTAATCGGGTCTTCAAATTGATGTAATTGGGTCATTTTGGGCTGTTTGGGTGGCCCA